AGCCATATACCAAAAGATGAGAGGGTAACAGTCTGTGATAGACAAAGAACAGAATAGGGGAAATTTCACACCGGTTCTACAACAGTGTTGAGTGTCCATGGCGAGGAGACCAGAGGAGCAAGAATCACAATTTATATATCTCAATAACAACCCGGAGCAGTGAAAGAGGATGCAAAGAATCAGATGAAATAAATCATCAAACAGATGTGGAATAGGTAAACTAGAGCTTTGTGGGGAAAATACTGGATCAGAGAGACGGAAGAAGACTTGGAAAGATTTAAGCTAAACAACAAAACAATAAATTTCCACAGCGATTAATCATCATCATCATGTAGCAGGTCCTTTACAGAACGTCGCTCCCATAACAGTCTGCCTAAAAAAGAAATTCGGTTTCTCGCCACACCTCCCAACTCATGTACTTTGATATTCAAGAAGTCGCTTATATCCTGTGCCCATCTTGGTGTTGGTCGGCCCTTGCCTCTCCTTCATGGTACTATGCCTTCTTCTATTATTTGTTCCAATCTGCCATGGCGCTTGATATGACCAAAATATTTCAGCTTCCGAGACAAGATGCTGTTCTTTAGTTAAATTTACTTGATGTTCAATTTTTTTTAATGTCTCTATTTCTTCTCTTCTTTTTCCATGGGATTCTGAGAATTTTCCTGTAGCATTTCAGCTCGAAAGTCCATATTTTCTTTTTTTTAAGAACTGGGAGATAATCAATGACTCACTTCCGTATGTTGCTGAATGGAAGATGCATGCACTATTAATACACATATCGAATAACATAGAATATTTGAGAGTAATCAACTCCCATGTTAGCTCAAAACAAAGTAAATGAAAAAGAAGGATTAAGCCAACATAGTCATCATGTTATTCCAGTACTTAAAAATAAATGTAATTACAATATAAAAAAAAAAAAAAATGCATTCAAAATTACTAAATAAATTTATGTACACAAAATACATCAGTTACTGAATGGTTATATGAAAAAGTAATACTGCATTTGTAAGTAAATCCTTGTTTTGCATTTCATTTGACGTAAGTAAGTGAAGTTATGGTAGTGATGATGATGGCGGTTGTGGTGGTGGTGATAATGATGCTAGTTTTTTTTTTTTTTTTTTGTGTGGGTTGACTCTTCCTTTCGCTAGAAATTGAATTCTGAAAAATTACCTCACAGTGACTCAAAAAGTCACTAATCTAACAGGAGCACATGCCAGAAACACGGTTCAACTACGACCGGCTCCAGCTGACGTCACCGGGTGGGGCTAAAGATGCGTTAACGCAGCGGTTTTCAAACAAGAAATATACTTTTTTTCCACAGTGGCGAATGAAGACAACTTGAAGTTCAACTTTTTTGTATCGACATGCCTTCTTTAATAATTCCACAATTTTTAGCCGACTTTTCTTGATTTTGCCGCGACACCCCTGGTATACACTCACGGCACCCCAAGGTGCCTCGGCACCCAGTTTGAGAATCGCTTCTTTAATGTATAGTTAGCCCGACCCGGTGACGTCAGCAGCAAGTCCCGTCAGCGTGAGCCGGTCGTGTTTCAACTGCATATCATAGTTAAATTAGGGAACCCCTATCTGTTAGAAAGGGAAAGATAGTGGTGATGATAGCGACGATGGTGATGATGGTGACGGTGGTGTTGGTTGTGGTGTTAAGGTTAAATATAACGGACATTGTGACTAGAGCTGATTAACCCGTCTCTCTAGCGTAGTTGGCTAAACCGGATTGCGCGGTGAGCGGGTGACGAACTCCTTGTGGTCCGGGTTCACTCCTGGGGGTAGGCAGAAAAGCCACATTTCTCTCAGATTTACGGTATTTACAATGGAATCAAGGCCGAAAGGTTGCGATATCCATAATACCGAGCCTAAGGGTTAACAACTCATGGCTTCTGGATACTAAAACAAACAAACAGACTAGAGCTGATCCCATTCTTAAAGTGATTACAAATGTACATGTTTTAATTTCAGAAGAGCCTTTTTACAGTAAATGATAACGTAGTGGCGTATACTTCAAACCCACGCATAAACCAACAGCTACAAGTATTCACAAATGTAACAGTTTGCTGCAGGACTAGAGAGCTCACAAGGAAGATGTGAAATGATAACATTAAAGACATTGTACCCCCACAATGACACAATTTGTCAGTGCCACACATATCCAGAAGCGGCATCCGTGGCTTAGGCGTTGCGAGTCCAACTCGCAATTCCAACGTACCGAGATTGAAACCCACAGCACGGATTTGTATCATGGTATGGGGCGTCGCAGGTCGAACCCAGCCTAAAATGGGTACCAGGATGTATGTCCTGGGGAAGTAAAGACGGCCGGCGTAATGCTGACCACACTACCCACCTAGTTCCGATTGGTGTGTACAAATATGGGTTTTTCCCATATCCCCGATGCGCATAAAGGCGCGAGAAGGGATCTTTACTTTACTTACACATATTCAAAAAATGGACCACACACGGTTTCCTGCCCTCGACCTCCCTTATTGTCGTTTTAACGGCAGAAGTGGAAATCCATGACATCGGCAGTGTCAAGGCGTGACTGTAACGGCTTTAAAAGCTGCTCACACCTCCATTGCTAACTGAATATTAGCGTATAATTTATTATGACCGTTTACTGTTTACCACAATTTCGCGGATCTGTTTACAGCTGGAACAAGGCAGACAGAAGGCTCATTGCATACTTACGTCACTCATGCGAAAACTGTAAACGTCAAAGCTATCAGTTACTAGTACTAGTACTACTAGTATGTGCGCGCAAACTCTGGACAGTGAAGCGATGAAAAGGAATGTTCACGGGAGACTCTCTGCAGTATAATCGTTTCCTGCTAGTGCCTACACATGCGAATTGATCACGCCTCGCCACTGTGGTGATGATAATGATGATATGGTTGCCATTTCAAATGAGCGTTGAATAACCTAAATAGGATATTTGTGGTTAATTGTTCTCAAACATCTATCTTATGTGGGAGCTTATGGAAGCAAAGATGTCCGGAAAATATTCTACGGCTACGTCTATGAGAGACAAGAGAGAGAGAGAGAGAGAGACAGAAAGAGAGAGAGAGAGAGAGCAGAGAGAGAGAGCAGAGAGAGAGAGAGAGAAAGAGAGAGAGACGCAGAGAGACAGAAAGAGAGAGAGAGAGAGAGAGATGCAGAGAGACAGAAAGAGAGCAGAGGGAGAGACGCAGAGAGACAGAAAGAAAGAGAGAGAGACACACACACAGAGACAGAAAGAGAGAGTGAGAGCAGAGAGAGAGACAGAAAGAGAGAAAGAGAGAGACGCAGAGAGACAGAAAGAGAGAGAGAGAGAGCAGATGGAGAGACGCAGAGAGACAAAGAGAGAGAGAGCGCAGAGGCAGAGACGCAGAGAGACAGAAAGAGAGAGAGAGACAGAAACAGAGAGGGAGACGCAGAGAGACAGAAAGAGTCGCAGAGAGATAGAAAGAGAGAGAGATATGCAGAGAGACAGAAAGAGAGCAGAGGGAGAGACGCAGAGAGACAGAAAGAGAGAGAGACACACACAGAGAGACAGAAAGAGAGAGAGAGTGAGCAGAGAGAGAGCAGAGAGAGAGAGAGACGCAGAGAGACAGAAAGAGAGAGAGAGCAGATGGAGAGACGCAGAGAGACAAAAGTAGAGAGAGAGAGCAGACGCAGAGAGACAGAAAGAGAGAGAGACAGAAACAGAGAGGGAGACGCAGAGTGACAGAAAGAGAGAGTCGCAAAGAGATAGAAAGAGAGAGAGATATGCAGAGAGACAGAAAGAGAGCAGAGGGAGAGACGCAGAGAGACAGAAAGAAAGAGAGAGACACACACACAGAGAGACAGAAAGAGAGAGAGTGAGAGCAGAGAGAGAGCAGAGAGAGAGAGACAGAAAGAGAGAGAGAGAGACGCAGAGAGACAGAAAGAGAGAGAGAGCAGATGGAGAGACGCAGAGAGACAAAGAGAGAGAGAGAGAGTAGAAAGAGAGAGCAGAGGCAGAGACGCAGAGAGATAGAAAGAGAGAGAGAGAGACAGAAACAGAGAGGGAGACGCAGAGAGATAGAAAGAGAGAGAGAGAGACAGAAAGAGAGTGTCGCAGAGAGATAGAAAGAGAGAGAGATATGCAGAGAGACAGAAAGAGAGAGATGCAGAGAGACAGAAAGAGAGAGAGATACGCAGATAGACAGAGAGAGATAGATAGAGACACAGAGATACAGAAAGAGAGAGATGCAGAGAGATAGAAAGAGAGAGAGATACGCAGAGATACATAAATAGAGAGAGACGAAGACAGAAAGAGAGAGAGATGCAGAGAGACAGAAATAGAGAGAGAGACACAGAGAGACAGAAAGAGAGAGGACGCAGAGAGACAGAAAGAGAGAGAGACACAGAGAGTCAGAAAGAGAGAGAGACGCAGAGAGACAGAAAGAAAGAGAGAGACACACATAGAGAGACAGAAAGAGAGAGAGACACAGAGAGACAGAAAGAGAGAGATGCAGAAAGACAGAAAGAGAGACAGAGACAGAGAGAGAAAGAGAGAGATGCAGAGAGAGGGAGAGAAAGAGAGGGAGACGCAGAGAGAGAGACGCAGAGGGACAGAAAGAGGGAGAGAGAAAGAAAGAAAAGGAGAGAGAGAGAGAGAGAGAGAGAGAGAGAGAGAGAGAAAGCAGAGAAGGTGGTAGGTGAACAAACTTTATCTCCAAAAGTTAACAAATTTGACTTGCGATTTGCATTCACAATATGATTAGTAAGTACAAACACAAAAGCATAATGGAGAAAGAAATACAGAGTAAGAGAAGGAAAGAGCTAAATGAGGGGTGGGAAGAGGTAAGGAAGAGGTATGACGCATTGCATTATATGCGATATTAAAAGCATCCAATAAGTCATAAGATCAAATACAATGGAGGAATTGACTGCGCTCAGTATGTGACCTGTAAAAAGTAAAATAAGATGACGATGATGATAGTGTTTACATACATTTACATTAGCAAATTCATTTTCCAAACAAATTAAGCATTCTGGTACACATCATCTACATTTTCATTTAGATAAATGTCATCTATTTCAGGTGCGCCGTTTTGAACTAGAACTGCTGAATCATTATTTTCGTAAACCTCTTGTGTTTCTTGAGCTGAAGAGGCACTTCCGACTGGCTCATAATAGTCAATGGACTCTTGGGATTTGGCGAGGGCGGTGTGTTTTGCCGTGTTGTCGTTTGGTGATTTCGCCTGGTTAACTGCTGGATGGCTTGTCTGCTGTGTATTCTCATAAAGTCCTTGAGCATGTCTGAATTCATTTTCCACGGCTGCTGTGTTAAGATATAGGGCATCGTCTTCATGTTGCATAGGAAGATAGAGTTGAGGTTCATTCTGATTCTTTGTGTCCAGAGGATCGTATCTGTGAGAGGTATAAGTAAAATATGTAAGACAGGTGTGATCTGGGAAGATCCCTATGGGTCTTGCACAAGTCAGATAATAAAACGGGCACTTTGTGGCAGGAAAAAAAAACCGGAGCTTTTTTATCTACAAATTCAAGCATGAGAATAGAAGTGGAGGCGATCACTGCAGCTTTAAAGTGGATAGCAGAAAACAAAGTTACCAGAGGAATTATTGTGTCTGATTTTTAGTCGGCATTGCGGAAGGTTCAAAATGGATTAATGTGGCATGAGTGAATACCATGCATCAGTACGCCAACGTTGCAGGGAATCGCGTGGATATACTGTCCGGGACATGCAAGAGTGCGAAGAAATAAAAGAGCGGATTTTCTGGCTACAAAGGCGAAAACTACAGGAACACTCGTATTGGACAAGGGAGATATTCTGAAGACCATATATGAACGACTTTTGGCAGAAGGCACAAGGTTAGATGAAATAACATGGGCAAAATTGTGTGAACGAGGAATTAAGTGTCGATCCGGCAAGCAGGGGCGGATGAGAGGAAGAGATCGGCGTGTGTATAATCAGTGAGCTACGAGGACAGTTAGCATCTACACCTTACATCATTTGCTATAAGTATGCCCGGTATGCTATGATGTCGATTCTTAAATCAGTAATCAGATAATAAGCAAAAATAATTGGGATTCCATCTTCAGCCTATGCATGGCTCACTTTGCCATTAACAGTTTTCTGAGGCTGATGCAGCCTCTTGAAAATATAACTATCAGATAATTTTTATAATTTTTTTTTTGGTGGAGGGGGTTCGGGTGTGGGTGGTGTTGGGGATTGAAGGGGAGGAGGGGGTAAGTGGTAGTGATGAGATAACATACCTCACGTATTGTGGCCTGATATTTGGATCACATCACATGTCACCCGCGGAGTAACCAGTTGCTGTAGTACTTCGACTAGAGAACTGAATTCGTTCCTGATTGCGGTTGGTATCTCGAAAAGTTCACATCTCGAAACCCAGTTTTCCCATTACAGCTTATAGGGGAAATCAATTAATCAATTTCCAGATTACAAATTGTATTCATATATATTTGAGGCTTTGAACAACAGATTAACATCATGGCACACGGGTAGTAACCCATTAGTGCTCCCTTCTTCTTTTAACTCAAGTCTGAGTCCGAAGAAGCTCAATACAGTGCACAGGCTCTGTAGCACCGGCGAGGATCCTGAAATACTTTGTGTAGATTTTTAACTCAAAATGATTTCCAACTGCCAATGGCATTTTTACGTACGCAACAATGCAAACGGGCGTCTAATCCCACTACCCAGAGACCAAGGGGAATTACTAGAAGTCCAAGTCAACGTGAAAAAAAATCACAGCTTTTATCAGGGATTGAACCCGGAAACTCTAACACTCGAGGCGGACACCAAGCCTCGAGACCACGTAACCCGCCCCCCTCCCCTCATGTACATAAATATAAGGATCCCAATTCGAACGAAGCTGGTTTTTATGACCATGGCTTCCAGGTCGGCCAAGCCTGAAATGGGTACCAGGTAAAAGTCCTCTGAAGTAAAGGCGGCCGGCGGGATACTGACCACATCACTCATCCAGTGCTGATTGATCTATAACATATAGGTCTGCCCTATATGCAGGGGAAAGGGGTACTCTACTTACTTTCCTAATTTCAGCAACTCTTCTCTACCTACTCAGTATTAAGAGAACAATGTGATTACTTCCCTTTAACTGAAGAGAACAATGTGATTACTTCCCTTTAACTATCTATATCCTCTTCATGTCGCTTTTGACACATAAAACGTTCACAAGTGATCTCCATTGCTGCTGGTCTTCTGCCTTTCTGCCCATAGTATCCCATGTCAGCATTCCTTCATTTCCCCTTCTTTTTTGTCTTTCTCCAGGTTGTCTTAGGTCGTCTATGTCTCGTTTTCCCATCTGCTGTCTACCGAAGAGCTGTTTTTGCCAGTGTCACAAGGTATTCTGCAAACATGTCCAAGCCATCTCAATCGTGTTTGATAACATTTTCCAGTGATGCACATTCTATTTTCCTCCTCAGTTCTTCATTTGTTATCTTACTTTGCCAAAATTCATTCCCCTTGACTAGGGCTTCCTTATCTTTCTGCGCTTAGCTTTTGCAATTTCTTGAATATTTTCGAAAAGAAAAATGATTGTCCTTCCATGAGGCTTCCAAGGCGACGTGGTTAAGCAGTTTTTCTCGTGCTCTGTAGGTCTGAGTTCGATTTCGGAGTGCGACTGTTTCTGAAATCTCCTAATGTTGGCGCTACCCATTATTTTGTTTTTCTTTTTTTTTTTTTTGCAACACTGTCGCAGATAGAAAGCAGTCGTTTACATCTAATACAACCAGTCTTAATTATTACTCAATCTTTGTTTTGTTCCTTCTGGTGCACGTTCATGTTCATAGTGTCTCTAAAGTAACCTCGAGAAATAGGGGATGATACAGTCACCCAGGAACCCTCTATGGTGAATTACAGTTGGCTAGATTTCGTCGTTGGGTAGAGGGTTAAGGCAAACTCTACCAACAAAAGATGTATAGCGCCCTCTTCCCTCCGCTAGCCCGTGGGACACTTCATGTGCAGGGCCCTTGTGCCATGATGTTGATCCGTTGTTTAAACTTCAAACCTTAAACCCGGTACCTTTTCAAACTATATTTGGTGTTATTTCCCTAATAAATTCGACAGTCCTACCCATGGACAGGGGTAAAGTACTGCCCCCATCGGGGTTAGGGGAAGTCAAGGCAGGCAGGTAATGGACAAAGGTGACAGCATCTGCAAAATGTTCATTACTGGTTACTACTTGAACTGTGTTAGCCAGAGAATGTCTCTACATTGGCTAAGACAACTCGTGGTGTCAATATTACTAATATTATTTAAATTATTCAAACTCAAGCCTCTCTGTGGTTGGTTCCAGAGCGCCCCAATTTTCTGGGTTGAAAGGAAGGGAAGGGGGGGGGGGGGGGCTGGAGACAAGTATAGACCAACTGCCTCCTTGATAAGTTTGTCGCTCAATGTGACTAACTAGGGAAGTTCCTTCAAAGTCGGAGTGCATCTGCCTTAGAGACGAAGAACCGACATAGCAAGTTTTGTAGAATGGATATGCACGCAAGATTCAAGTTCTGGAACAAGGCAAAAGTTCACAAGTGGACACAGAGCCAGAAGTTTTCACCGAAGTTTACAGTTTGCGAATGCTAAGAAGGAGAATTCCCAAACTGGAAGACCATTGTATCTTTGTGTATATCTGTGCCCCTGATCTCTGCCCCTTGACCTGTCCGGCTAAGGAGACAATGCTGACAGCTACGCTACTGCCTGTACATGATCATTAGGAATCTCAATCTCCCAATTCAGGTAGATACATCTTCAGGTGAGATGATGATGATGATGAGGCGGAGGAGGAGGACGACGACGACGATGATTATGGTGACAATAACAAAGTTAAACCATGATCATTACTTGTGCTGCATGTCAGTGTAATCGTTGGATTCTGCAGGAGGTGGAGGGGCTTCACCAAGTTCCTGTAGTTCCTTGTTTTCTTGGCTGGCCCTGCTGAAATTTTTCTTGTTATTCTTTGGGGAGTCCTGGAAATATACAAATAAAAACGCACGATAACACTTGGTCAGTCATGCTCCAATTCCAATTCCTGTTAAGAAAATATAAAAAACTCAACTACATTCAATCCTGCTGCTAGCAAACCGAAGCTGACAACAGTCTCCGGCTATATTTGTGGTCTTGTTTATTTGCGTTACTTTCGTGGCTAAAGTTCTGGTATTTGCGCCGTCTTAGGGCTTAATGCTACTTTCCTCCAATTCAGACCACCATTATTTATAGTTTTAAAATTTTGAGTATTATACTTTGCCGAAGAGTACTGAAAACAGTTTTTGGGTTTGGGTAGATAAAACACCGCTTAAGACGATCTCGGATGTGTCGAATTTCTGTTGTTAAGAACAATTTGTTTACCTCCAGCATTTTTCTTGCTTGAACGAGTATCTGGATAATAGGAATTTATGAAAAGAAGAGTCATTTAATGGGTCCCCGGGAAGTTCTCCTTATCAGATCTTAGCTGTAATTCACTAGAGTCATGATGGCGACGTGGTTTTTAAATGCCTAGCGCTCTGATAGTTGGGTGTTTGATTGTTTTCTTCTTCTGGGACTGCAGCAAATATTGCTTTCTATTGACCCACAGACAAAGTCCCTAATCCGGAAAATGGGGGCGGGGGGGGGGGGATAACAGGAACAGTTCTTAGAAATCACGTTCAACAGTGTAACACAGTTTTATATTGGGGCATGGGCGTAAGCTGCTGTCCACTGTGGGAAGGTGTGATAATCCTAAACAATATGTTTTATGTTGTAATTTGTGTTGTAATAGTTCCTTGAAAGATATATTTCCATACAAAAAAAAAGTTAAGTAAAAGGCTCTTGGAGGAGCGGCTGGCCGAACGGTTAGAAAGTTTGGCTCTTAAGCGGGAGACCCAGGTTCGAATAGGGCTGGTGATTTTTTTTTTCTGTCGGGGGGGGGGGGGGGGTCGGGGGGGGGGGGGGGGGGGGGGGCAAAACAAAAACAAAAAAACTTTCACATGCACATTCATGGCGACAGCACTAGCCATGCGGACGTAAATCCTCAGACTCAAAGACTTCCCTGTCTACACCGCAAAAATGGTATAATAAAGGCAGAAAAAAAAAAACAGCATAAAAACGAGACCCTTTTTTCATGCCTTAAGGCGTACTGGGCATGTAGGGCTAGACGTATATTTTAAAGACCAACCGGCATCTTTCGGGTAATGTGATCAACACCATCCCGGCCGCCTTTACTTCCCAGGACCACCTGGTACCCGCTTAAGACTGAGTAGACCTAGGAGCCAAAGTCATTTCTGAAGAAAGCCTGGTTCCGCCAGGAGCCGAACCTTCGACCTTCCGATCCGCAGGCGAGTGTCTAGCCGCTACACCACGGTGACTTCTACTTCTATGTAGTAATTAGTGAATTAGGTGGGTGATGCAGAAACTTGGTTTTATAGAAGAATGGTGTGAAGATTAGTGACCGGTAAGAAGCTCCCCCTCCCCCCTTCCCCCAAAGCATGTCTTGAAAGAAATTGGTGCTTTAATAATATCCTACCCCAAACGGGGGAAATCCATAGGTCACGGGACAGTCTAATATTTCCGGGTGATGATAGATAATCTGCATGCAGTCGTTGGACCTAGGCTGCATGCAGTAGTGGGACCTAGGCTGAACTCTCTCGTGGGACGTAGGTGGGTTGGGGTTAGGGCCAGTTCTAGATGTTTTGGGGTCGTTAAAAGCGTCAGAAACTCTTGCCACCCTCTAAAATGTTGAACTGTCCTGTGACGTCATCTTGGGTAGAATATTAATAAAGAACCAAGAAATAAACTCTCATTGAGATCTAGTTACAAAAAAAAAAAGTATACACTCCAAATTCTTTCTATTCGTACGTCATAGGAAAGCAAAAACTAGATTAAGTTGTTGCAACAAGAAAGTTAGGAGGGCAAGACAGGCAGAAGGAGAGCAAAACAGTTTTCCCGTTGTAAATGAGAACAAAGTAGACTTAACCAACAAACTGCACAATTCACTGCCCACCATACCTAGCTAAATCTGGATAGCTGTATGCACTTCACATGATACAGCGAAATATGCGATTCAATAAATCATGAAATCTGTTGTTTGTGTCTTAACTGTTCTAAATTTTTTTCCGGGGATATTAAGAACATGTCTTTTGCATAGGTTATATTGGTGCATACCTTGGAAGTGGGGTCTTTCATATAGCGTGTTATTTGGTCATGCTTTCTCAGTAGTTCCTTAGTACTGATCTTTGGAATTTGGGGCATTTTGCTACTATCGCTACCGTCAGCACTGATAACAGGCTGTAGGGATGGAAAAACATGAGAATTAAAACCAGAGCTCTTGACTGTCACTCGTAGCAGTAGATTAGAGAAGTATAGGCTGTATATCATACTAAGAAAAATAACTTGTTGCGTATCCTTTAATAAGACGTCGAAAAAATCAATTTCAAACGTTTCTCCACTGACTTTAGAACACGAAGACTTTACAGTATAAAGTCGTCGAAGAAACGATGTTGAAGTAAGAAGTGTCTAGTATTGAAACAATTACAGTTCAAACACAAACACTAATAATATGGGGCTGAAAGAACTAAATGATGCACAGCAGAACAATAAATAACTATAAAGTGAAAAATAATAAATCGGTTGGTGCAGTTTCGTAAATAGGAGCAACTGTAATCGAGCTGATTTCATACCCCCCCCCCCCCCCCCCCCTTTTTTTTCCCCCAATTAAACTGTACCTGCTAAGCTCATTTTTGCGCATCCGGTCCTGCTCAACAATAGGTTTTTTTTTTAATAATATCTCCTAATAGTTCTTCGTGTCCTTATTTTCTATTGTTTCATATTTCCTATCCCAAGCTGAACTTTTTGATTGCTTGATTAGTTCATTGATAAGGACTGTGCGCCTCTTCCCTTTCCCCTCTTTTGAGCTTTCTAGTTCAAGTTGGTTCTACTGTTTATTTGCTGCAGACTTTGTATATTGATTCCATTATCCGTTAAATGGGAGTCTGTGCACCGAATTATGAGCCTGTTCTAAATTCAAAAAGTTAGCCCCGCCTTCTTTACAAATTGGTGCCAACCAACGCTAGCATTTATTGGCTGTTTATGGTTTTACTAGGCAATTTAACGTTAATAAAAAGTTGAGCATTTCTAACTAAGCAGTCGGCTCTCCATACCTTTCTCGTGGTAATCAAAGCAAGAAAAGACCTCCTGTCCAATCGCAGGAAGCTGAATGCAACCGGAGTCTACTCTTTTCCTTCAATGCAAGTACCCTAGAACCCACACTGGGAAAACCTAGGTGCAAGTGTAATCTATATTAAAATATTTGGTCCGCGTGTGGGTTCCAGGGCCCAATTGTGGGGAAAACAAGAATAGACGTGATGCCTTTCCAGCAAGCATGTCGTAGGAGTCGACTTACTGTGGACTTTCTATAAAGTTGGAGTGCATCTGCCCGAATGGCCAGGAACAACCAGATTCACACATGTAGGCCATTAAAGTCGGCTCTGTGGCTAAGTCGATGCGAACACTTCGCTTCGTAATGCCGGGATGCCAGGTTCGATCCCAGCTGCGGGCAGTGCGCCTTGCGTTGGTTTCGACAGTGGTATCAAGAAAGCCGACCGTCCAGAAAGCAACGGCAAACTACTGGACGTAAATTTGCCTAGAGAAACCACACAACAGCCAGGGGCTGTTAGGGTTGGTTCTGCAACGTCCTCTAGAGGATACGCAACAACCTTTTAAGGCCATTAAAACGGATGTATTCCAAGTGGTCTAACAACCAGGTCATTCCACCGCAGCTTTCAGTCGGTGAACAAAGAAGAAGAACAAGAAAATATTTGGTTGCCTTAAATTAGCATCTTAATAACTTACCTCCAGAAGAGATCGAGTGAGAAACGATTGATTACAAGAACTATTGGAACCATACCCATAGTTAAATTTATTGAGAAGCAAAGAATGAAATGGTTTGGTCACCTAATGAGAATGGAACCAACGATGCCAGCATCAAGAGCATACAACATGAAAATCGAAACAACAAGAGGCAGGGGAAGACCAAGAAGAAGATGGATTGAAGGAGTCACGGACAACTTGAGACTTCATAACATCACGGCATATGGAGCGACTGAGCGCGCCCTGGCTCGGTTGCCGATCATCTGATAGACTGCGACGCCTAGCGGCACAAGCAGATTTTGACAAAAGAAGAAAGAATAACTTACCTGCATTCTCTCACTGCGGGCAGTAACATCTCGAGATCCACGAAACTTGCGAAGCGCGAACAGAACGATGACAATGGCGATACCCACAATACACACAACAGCAATAACAATCCCAGCAAGGGCAACACCAGACAGCCCTTCTGCTACTTCCGTGTAGCACGTGTTGGTGACATTGTTGAGTTGATAGCCAGCTTGGCAAACCTCACAGGTGGGTGTCTCGATCAGGTCTGTGCACTTGTTGCAGCCGACAACGGAACAATTTTTACAAATCCATGCATTCTTGACTGTGGTCGTTGAGGGTGTTGTGGTTGTGGATGGCGTGGATTCAACTACATGAGGGTTGGGGGGAAAGGGGAAGGGGAGAGACAAGAAATATGTTGAAGTGAGTTAAAAATTAACATCACAGCACTCGGGAGATTCCCATAAGTACTTAGCCCCATCTTCAGCAGCCAGCGCGGTGTTCAACTGTAAATGTTATCAGTAGTATTTTGTCTGGATGTCAGGCTTGCCTTTCATCTGTGTATAGAACATCAGCCTGTCCGACTCTCTAGCGTAATTGGCTAAACCGGATTGCGCAGTGACCGGGTGACGAACTCCTTGTGGTCCGGGTTCACTCCAGGGAATAGGCAGAAAAGGAACATTTCTCCCAGATTTACGGTATTTACAATGGTATCAAGGCCGAAAGGTTGCGATATCCATAATACCGAGCCTAAGGGTTAACAACTCATGGCTTCTGGATACTAAAACAAACAAACAAACAACATAGAACATCAGCCAGATCCCCTACTTACTCCCAACTACAAACAACATTCTCTTGAGCCCGTAATAAGTATATTTTAGTTAAACTATTTCATTACAAGGCAAATCTTCATTTGCGTGGACTTTTATCATGGTATGGGGCGTTGCAGCCTAAAATGGGTACCAAGATGTATGTCCCGGGGAAGTAAAGACGTCCGGCGTAATGCTGACCACATTAACCACCTAGTACCGATTGGTCTGTAAAAATGTGGGTACTCTTCCCATTTTCCGATGTGCCTAAAGGCGTAAAAAGGGAACTATATTTACTTTTAAATCTCCATTTATTTAAAGACCAAGTACATAACCCTTTCTTTAGCCGGAATGCAGCTGTCATATGATGTTCTTCTTCTTTATCTTCTTCTTCTTCTCTTCTTCTTCTTCTTCTTTCTTCTTCTTCTTCTTCTTCTTCTTCTTCTTCTTCTTCTTCTTCTTCTTCTTCTTCTTCTTCTTCTTCTCTTCTTCTTCTTCTTCTTCTTCTTCTTCTTCTTCTTCTTCTTCTTCTTCTTCTTTTTTTCTTCTTCTTCTTCTTCTTCTTCTTCTTCTTCTTCTTCTTCTTCTTCTTCTTCTTCTTCTTCTTCTTTTCTTCTTCTTCTTCTTCTTCTTCTTCTTCTTCTTCTTCTTCTTCTTCTTCTTCTTCTTCTTCTTCTTCTTCTTCTTCTTCTTCTTCTTTTTCTTCTTCTTCTTCTTCTTCTTCTTCTTCTTCTTCTTCTTCTTCTTCTTCTTCTTCTTCTTCTTCTTCTTCTTCTTCTTCTTCTTCTTCCACCCTTCTAGCCCCCAAAGGACCATAGGCCTCAATTAACTCATGCCAAGTCGTTCTATCCGTTGTATCGCCTGTAGCTCTCCCCATCTCCTCCCCATCTTTCTAACTTCATTCTCCAGCTTCCTTCTCTATGTATTTGTTGGCCTTCTTTTTGTCTATGCCCCCGTGCGTTTCAATGCAAAGACATTCTAGCTATATTGTTTTCCGGTTTTCTCATTGTGTGTCCTATCCAACGACAGCGTCTTTTATTCACCTTTTGGTCCACTGCAGCTTGCTTAGTTCTCTCCCAAAGCTCTACGTTAGTGATTCTTTCATACCATTTAATTCCGTCTATTCTGCGCACGCACTAGTTAATGAATGTCTGTAGTTTATAAGTATTTGCCTTAGTTGTTCTCCATGTTTCCGCCACAGACAAAAGTACTGATTTGACATTAGAATTAAACATTTAGATGTGTGATGTTAGTCGCATAAAATTATAGACCAAATCGCCATGATCATCAATTAAATGACTGAATCAGAATAGGACCTAACAGTCTCAGGACCACCTAACAGGGGACACGGACAAGCTTCACAAGGAAACTGCACCCGGGCAGAGATTTAACCCAAGTACACCTGAGTCCGACTCGTAAGCCAGCATACCGCGATCGAAACCCACTGTAGGCTGCGTGGATTTTTATCGTGGTATGGGACGTCGCAGGTCCACCCAGCCTAAAATGGGTTCCAGGATGGGCTGTCCTGGGAAAGTAGAGACAGCCGGCGTAATGCTGACCACATTACCCACAGAGTGCTGATGGTCTGTAAAAATATGGGACGCTCTGCCCATATGCCAGATGCGCCGAAAGGCGTGAAAAGGGATCTTTACTTTACTTACACCCGACACCGGGAGCAGCCGTGATGTAGCCGCTAGACGTTCGATTGTGGATCAAAAAGTTCGCGAAAACGGGTCCTGACGAAATCGGACATTTTTAAACAATATGAGGTCAGTTGAGTCGAAGAATTGACATCACAGAACTCGGGGCATTCACATGCGTGCTCCGTCCTGTCTTCAGCAGCCAGCGCAACATTCAGTACTGATGGTACCAGTTACAATCTGGTTATATGTCCGTCTTGCCTTTCCTCTGAGTGTTGTGAGCCGGCCAGACCCTCTGGTTACACCCGGGTGCCTCATTTTCTCCAGGCCATAAAAATCTTGCCTAAACAATATGACAGTCTATCCTTGCTTAAATGAGTAGGAGGATAAGTTATGGGAAGTTAAGGCAGCCGGTGTGATGTTCCTATCACACACTGAATATCGATTGATAAATAGAATATAGGTCTAGCCCTATATGCCGAATACGCCTGAGGGCGTGGAAAAGGATCCTTGCTTTATAATTTTACACTGAACACACCCTGAACAAGGGAGACAAAACCAGCAAGACGGGCAGTCAAAACAGGACAAAAATGGGAACCAGACATGTAGTTAAATGAACATATGAAATGAAATATTTTCGCTGAAATACATAAAACGAATTATCAATTTAGGCTGTTCATCTCTCGACCAGAAATTTTGGTTCACCCATGTGATTGTTGTATGGTAACTTCAACTTTATATTTGATTTACCTCTGTAGCTATGCATCTGGTGAGGTAAAGCGAAATATGCCTGGCAATAAATTGTGCAATGTTTTGTTGTGGCCACATAATTTTACATTGACAACTGGAAAACAATGTTTTAAATCTTTGTAGTTACAAAATATAACACTAATTACCATATCATTTTTTTTTATATTAACGTTAGTTGTATATACAAAACTGCCTATAATCCCCGCCCCCCTTTTTTTTTTCTCACAAAAAGACAATAAATGATGACGAAATTATTTTAAAATGTCACAAACGTCTTCTCGTCCTTCTCGTCCTCTTAATCCCTTGATGAAACACAGACCCTCAACCAGCTTGCGCCAAGCTGTCCTATTTTTGCTGCCACATTTAGCTCACCTCGAGTCCTTACCATCATGTCACTATCTAGCTGTCTTCTCCATGTATGTGTGCTAATGTTTCTGTGCGTGTACGTGTGTCTGATGTCTGGTCGTGTGTGTCTGCTTTGACTCCTATGATCCTGGGATTTCAGTTCATAATTATTCTAAATGCCTTTTAAGCAGGTTTTCTCCTGGTGTGTCCTACAACGTATCCTGTGTGGATTATGGGGCTTTTCTGGAGTAGGGAAGGGGGAGCAGCTGTCCTCTAGCAAACATGTCGTAGCAGGTGAATAATTAGGAATGTGCTGAAGGTGGGTGTAAATAAACGAAAGGTGCAGATACTACAGCCTAGCTGTAAGCCATACAACAACGTAGCAACAACCCTTTTAAGAGCGAGCGCTGAAGAAAAAAAGGTTACACAGTAAAAATATTTGAAAGCTAAAGTACCTTCTGGAACCTGGCGCTTCTCTCTTGATTCCAGACAAAATGGACTGTAGATTAGGTGTAACTTGTACATTGGGGCCTCACATCCGCCACACTCGGTGATACAGTTCGTTACCTCCCTACAGTTGCTAGCACTGCACTTCCCATTACAAACGTATTCTGTAATGATCTGAAAGAAAAATTAAATGCATTCGAAAATAAATGCCGGAGTAAATTGATGAAAAGTACCCATTAACAGAAACCTCTCAGGACCACATAACAGTAGATATAGACAACTACACAAATTACCTTCAAAATATCAGGTGTGACTACACACCACCACAAAAAAAAAAGGAAATCAAATAAGACAGCCAAGGAACCTTCCTTCATATAGCCGGCCTCCGGGCGGCTAAAAAAGGATCAAATTTGGAATTTTTGTTGGACAACTGGAATTGGAATTGGATTACCTTCATTCAGACAGAAAATACGCTCGTAAAATAAAAAAAAAGCATAACTAGATTGCAGAGGTTGTTTGTTTGTTTTAGTATCCAGAAGCTCGGTATTATGGATATCGCAACCTTTCGGCCTTGATTCCAGAATAAATACCGTAAATCTATGAGAAATGTGACTTGTATGCCTACCCCCGGGAGTGAACCCGGACCACAATAAGTTCGTCACCCGGTCACCGCGCAATCCGGTTTAGCCATCTACGCTAGAGAGCTGGGCGATTGCAGAGATAAAACCAGCAAAGGAAGCAGCCAAAACAGGGTCAACGTAGTTCCCAGACAAGTAGGGATGGACAGTGTATTCAGACAGTGACACTAAGCCAACATACCTGGCACAAATACACAAATCTCAACCAGTTTTTCTACATTTACTTTCTTGGCACAAATAACCTAGGCCCGTAGTGGCGTAGGTCAACGAATATTTTTTTTTTTTTGGTTTCGTCTAAAAAGGAAATACAAAATTGAACATTAGTACCGTAAAAATGGGTGGGAGTGGCCGGGGGGGGGGGGGGGGGGGGGGGGTGTTCAAGTGATTTTTTGTGTGGGGTGGAGGGGGAGGAGAGGGAGGGGGGGGGGGGGTCATGGCTATTATTATAAGCATCACATTTGTAAGGTTTCATTTGAAGCCTCCTCGTGATTCAAAAGTTAGGGAAAACACTTACAAGTGACAGGAAACGAGTCAGAGCGAGACAAAGAGATAAATGCTATGGTGGTAGCCCTCCCTATCAGTCATGAGCTGGTAGTGCCAAGAACATAGACATGTTCCTTTGATCACACCTTTTCGATAAATGTTCTTTCTTTCTTTCTTTCTTCTTTCTTTCTTTCTTTCTTTCTTTCTTTCTTTCTTTATGTCATTGATTGTTGGAACTATAACATGTCATCATCATCATCATGTGACAGGTCCTTCACAGAATGTCATTTCTCAGATTGTTAGTCGATCCCCCTTTGATGTTTAAATCCTTTAGACTAGCGGTTCTCAAACTATGGATCTCGACACCTTTATGCGTTGAACGACTATTTTACAGGGGTCGCCTACGACCATCGGAATACACATATTCACTGAAGTTACGAAGCTGTAACAAAATAATTTTATGTTTGGGGTTCTCAACAACACGAGGAACTGTATAAAAGTGTCGCGTCTTTAGAAAGGCTGAGAGCCACTGATTTGGACCATACGGGTTGGCTTCTCTTCTCTATTTCATGGCATTCAGATGACCTTAATTGGACATGTCCATTCGTGATTCCTACTTTCTTCCTCTAAAATAGAGGGATGGCCCACGACTAAGACATGCTGATATCTTTCCTTTTTCCTGAGATGGGAGATGTGAAGTCGGGAGATGTGAACCAGCGTCATTGCACACTGTTGTAAACCAAAAGGGCTCTGCCACCAGAACGGACAGCTGATTAGAAAATGTCTGTCGTTGTCCGCACGAAACTCCGTAGCCCCAGCGACGTTTTTCCATTTACCCCAGAGAGTTTACTCTAGTATCCATTTCCTAGAGACTGGGTGAACCCCGGAACCCGTGGGGTTTCGAACACAAGCCGTGGGCTAAATGTATGGAAGTAAGAGGGACTGTACTAATTACAAAAAAATACCACTTCTTAGGCACACTGGGAAATTTATGCTAAGATCATCGGGAAAAGGCTAAGACCATTGAGAGAGTATCAACTTTCAGAAGCACAGATGGGCTTTCGACGAAACAGGAGTTGCACAGATGCCATTTATACATTGAGCTATCAGAGAGTGCAATAGAACACGATAAGACATGTTTGTTGACATTCATAGACCAAGAAAAAGCTTTTGATAGAGTTGACAGGAATATTCTGTGGGAATGTATGGGAAAAAGGGGAATCAGCAATCATCTCATTAATGTTTGCAAAAGCCTGTACACACGTAGTAAATGCTGCATAAGATCGAAGGCAAGATTGTAAAGAACTTTTATAGTGAACTCTGGTGTGCGTCAGGGCTGTGTACTATCGCCGCTTCTTTTTATAACATACATGGATACCATAAGTAACGAAACGAACTTTAATCATAAAGAAGATATTAAAGAATTACTATTCGCCGACGACCAGGCACTCATAGCAGAAAGTACGAAATGCCTACAGAACCACCTAAATCAAATTAGTAACAAAGGGGAGGAATATAATATAAAATAAACACTGCGAAGACAGAGACAATGGTGAAAGGAAGACAGAAAAAAATTTCAGAAATAAAATTTAAAAAAACAGCACCTTAAGACAAACAGAGGAATTTAAGTATTTTAGAGCAATTTTCATATTCCACGGAAAACTGGACAGAGAAATTAGCTCGAGATGTGCCAAAGCTTATTAAGTAATGGGGCAACTATCTCCCTTGTTGACACACAAGCAGATACCTAGGAGTGCTAAAGTGAATCTTATGAAAACTATTTTTTGGCCAACACTATGCTATTAATGCCAGACGTGGACACTTACATCCTCCAATGAACGTAAAACTGTGACAACAGAGATGAAATGCCTTAGAAGAGGAAAGACAGATTACGAAATCATGAAATCAGACGAATGCTAGGAATAAAGCCAGTCTTACAGGTCATCAAAGAACAACAAATGAAGTGGTTTGGATCCCTAAAAAGAATGCCTTGGTGCTATCTGCCACAGCGAGCCACACTAAAACGTTACAACGGGTATAGAGCGAGTGGAAGACCTCGGAAAATATGGAGTGAGGGCATTAAGAACAGTCTTACAGAAATGAACATCAGTCTTAATAGTGCTCTTGACAGAGCTCATCAACGAACATTACATCTCCCCCCGACACTTCGATGAGGTACAAGGTGGAAGAGAAGAAGAAGAAGAAGAAGAAGAAGAAGAAGAAGAAGAAGAAGAAGAAGAAGAAGAAGAAGAAGAAGAAGAAGAAGAAGAAGAAGAAGAAGAAGAAGAAGAAGAAGAAGAAAAAGAAGCCGTGGGTGCAGCGAGTCGCAGCTGGATTTGAAACCGAGTCTTCTATCTACTGCGCCTGCACTATGAGCAGGCATGCCACTCACAGCTCATGTCGATGGGGAGTCCAGATCAAATACGGTCAGGGATGAAGTTCCTCCTCTCTATAGCACAAAGCATGGGCAGTATTGTAAAGACTATATGTTACCCATGCATCATGATCCCTCTATCGACTTACCTTGTTTACTCCACAGGAAAGGAAACTCTAGTACGTCCGATATAAAATATACTCCCAACTCACAGAACTTGCTAGTCTCCAACTATATTCTTTTCCCTTCTCCCAACATCGCTTTATATTTATATACAGGCATGAAGGTTACACATGGGGATGTATTTCCTTTCTTTCATTCAAACTAGGTCGGAAAACTCATCTAAGATTTTAAAATGTGTCTGTCCTTCAAGTTAAGTTGAGTGATTGATTTGAATATCTTTGTGTTTATCTTAGATACAAATTACATACCATATCTTAACTGAAATTTAAATGTGGTAATGTAGTGTAACTAAAACAACTGAATAAATTATGGAGTGGGGCAGACAGAACTACAAAAATTCGATTTCTAAGAGCATGCATCTTTAGCACTGCAACATACACATGTGAGACCTGGACACTTCCTAAACAAGCTGAACAGCGCATAAATGCCTTTGAATACAAATTTTATAGATGGGTCTAAGGGTAACATGGGTAAAGAAAAGAGCAAATGCATCCATAGTTCAAGAACTAAACATTGAAGAAGGTTGGCTATTAAAGATGATAAAACACAGAACAAAAGTTTACAAAGAGCAATATTGGAGGGTTATATGCCTGGGAAGAGAGGAAAAGGAAGGCCAAAGAGAAGATGGGAGCAGGATGAGGCGGGTGATCTCCATATGGGTGTATCGGACGCGGGACATCTTGTGGACTTTGAAAAGTCCTAGCGATAATGTCCGCAATCATATTGATTATATTTTGATTTCAAGAAGATTCCGGAGCAGCTTAGTTGGAGCAAAAACTAGACCAGGAGCAGACTGTTTTAATGACCACGTTCCAGTTGAAGGAAAAATTAAAAAAAAACTAAAGAACATTAGAAAAACACCACAAAACATCGTTACATTTAGGAATTCTTAGAACGGATAAAGACATTATGAAACAGTACAATGTCACTGTACAAAACTGGTATAATACAATGGAAATTATACAGACTATTGATGAACAGTATGATATGTTGCGTGAGTCAATTCAGCAGACATCTAAAGAGACAATCTCGCCAAACCATAGAGTTGCAAAAAAGAAATGGATGTCAACCGAAATTCTGCAGCTGATGAATGAAAGAAGGAAGAATCATAAAAATAAAGAAAAATACTCTAGACTACAAAAGGAAATAGTGAACAAATGCAAAATGGCTAAAGAAGTATGGCTGAATCAAATGTGTATAGAGATTGGGGAAAATCACAGGAAAGACTCACATTCCATGTACCAACAAATAAATATGTTATCAGGAAAGATGACACTAACAGCATTTCCCCCGTGTGGGTTCCGGGGCCCCATTGTGGGGAATACAAGAATAGACCCACTGCCTCCCCAAAAGCATGTCGTAAGAGTCGACTAATTGGGGAGCTTCCTTTGAAGTCGGAGTGCATCTGCCGGAGAGGCAAGGAACCAACAGTCTGTATTCAAGAGAATGAGATCTGTAAAACTGATGCACACTCAACACTCAGCTTCTGGAGCAGG